TACCGCGGTTAAGTAATTTTATTGTGGCATTTAGTAACCTCCTTAATTTGAGATTTGTTTCAATTTATTCAATGAATCAATAACATTTATTTAACTTATAATGAATATATATACGAAGTAATATTTTACTTATTAAGACTTGTTGTATTTGCAGATTATGGAGATGACTTGTTGTATTTGCAGATTATGGAGATTTCAAAAAGGATGAATGTGCTAAATTAGTAGTAGAACTAGAGGAAGAATTTGAAGAACAAGTGGAGTATGCTAAATTATTAGGACTTGTATTTGTAGATTATGGGAGACTAGTACGTGAGTGAGGGCGAGGAAGGTGGGGATGGATATCCGCATGGGGCGGGGCGGGGATGGTTTTCAAGTTGGACCTGTCAGGGCGGGGAAGGGGATAAGTTTCAGACTCGCGGTGGGAATAGGGATGGGGATGAAAATGCCAAAACCCGCCCCGCCCTGTTGACATCCCTAATCCTATTAAACCAATTTATTCTCGTCCTCATAATATCTTTTTCGGTTTTTTCACCATATACCCCTGAGTTTTTGTTTATTCACCATATATCCCTGAAAATTTTCAAATTCACCATATACCCCTGAGTTGTTACAAAAATTCACCATATACCCCTAATGACAACAAGATGAATGAAATATGATTAATTATGCATCGAAACCACCTTAGATCTCTCCCCCCATCCCCGAAACCATTCCTCTCCTTTCTCCAACCCCCAAAACCACTCCAAATCTCCACAACCATATCCGTATGATTGATTTTGAGGATGAGAAAATGAAATAAGGGGTGGTTTTGGGGTTAGGAAAAAGGAATGTAGGTGGTTTTGGGGTAGGGGAATGTATATAGGGTGGTTTCGGGTCATAATTAACCCTAATGATTGACAAATTTAACAATCATTAGTAATCAAGGGTATATGGTGTATTTTTGTGAAAATTCGAGAGTATATGATGAATTTAAAAAGGTTTAGGGGTATATGATAAATGAATAAAATACTCAGGGATATATGGTGAAAAAACCGTATATTTTTTGTTAGGTAATACTTGTTGGGAATATAAGGTATATTCTCAAACCCATTACCGAGGAAGTATTAATTCATAACTATGACAGATTCTACAAATGTATAACATGTCAATTGATTAGTACTATATGACTAATATCTAACTTGCTACTGTTATACGAAGTATTAAACATTTGAAGCCTGAATCAAATTATGCAAACATATGCCTTTTAGGGGCGAATTTAAGTTCAAGGTAATAGGGTCAATTGACCCTACTTATTTGGGGAAAAAAAAATCTTGTTACAAATAGTTAAAAGATAAATAAATAATAATTTACTTAACATGAGAAAGATTGTTAAAAAACCATCTTAACCAAAATCTTAAGCTGATGGTTAGAATATGGCTGATGACATACCCTGCGGTATTACTCGGCTTCGAAATCATGTTAAAGGACCATCTTCAGCAAAAGGTTAAGCTGATGATTAAAGCCCAGGAATATGTTTTAATTTGGGATTTGTTAAACATCGCCCACAAATTACTACATAAAGCCCACAAAATTAATATGATTTGACAGTTTTGCCCCTTTGTCAATTTTCTCTGAAAACGAAAATTTCACTCACCGAAAAATGTGGAGTCGTACGGGGACGCCGGGGGAGGCCGGAGATCCGGGGGCGACGAATGTCATCGGAAAAGACGGCTGGCGTCCGGAGGAGCCGTCACCACCGTGGCACCGGCGCCTGGCCGGGACGCCGCCACCATGGCGGTGGCGCCTAGCCAGGACGCCTGTACCATGGTTGAGGCTTCCAGGCTAGGCGCCATGACCATGGTACTGGCGTCCCGGCTAGGCGCCACCACCATGGTGGCGGCGTCCCGGCCAGGCGCCGGCTCTAGGGTGGTGGTCCGACCTTTTTTTTTTTTTTTTTTTTTTCACATTTGACTTGCTTAAAATTTAAAATAAAAAATTTTCTCAGTTACCAACAAAAAAAAAACAAAATATTTAAAAAAAAAAAGAAATTTTTTTTTCTCAATTTCCAACAAAAAAAAAACACAATATTACACAAAAAAAAAAGAAAACAAAAAATTATCAATTTCTTACAAAAAAAAACATGATATTACACAAAAATAGAAAAAAAAATCTCAATTTCCAACAAAAAAAATATTATACAAAAAAACAAAAAAAAATTAAAAAAAAAAAATAACAAAACAACCACGGCAAGGTGGTGGGGCGCCTGGCCAGGACGGCCGATGGCTGGTGGTGGCGCCAGGTCCGGCAGCCACGTCCACCGGCCTGGCGTCTGGGCAGGACGCCCAGCCACAGTGACTGGCGCCTGTCCCAAACGCCACTCACCGTGGCTGGGCGTCCTGCCCAGACGCCAGGCCGGTGGATGTGGCTGCCGGACCTGGCGCCACCACCACCTTGCCGCCACGAGCCAACCCTCCCTCCTCCGCAGCCGCCGCCAACTCTTTGCCTTGCCGCCTCGACATCCCCGTACTTTGATTTTTTTTTAGGTTGTGTTTTTTTTTTTAAGGTCAAGGGCAATATTGTAACTTCAATATAAGTTTGCGGGCTTTATGTGGAGATTTGCGGGCGATGTTTAGCAATCCACTTTAATTTGTACTCATTCAAAGATAATATGAATATTAGGAGTATACTATGGATACAAATAAGGAAAATAATTATTTGTGCAATATAATGTATGTATAATTTCACGTAATTTGTTAATATATAAATTATTATATAATTTACTTCATGTTGATTGAATCCACTAATAAAATATGCTAGATTCGCTACTGTTATATCCTTGATTTAAAATACTTGATACAATTCAGTATGATTTATGAATTTATATCTAATATTAACCACTTTCTGTTATATGTAAAGGGAGAATTATGAAAAAAGAGAAGGCCAAGAACACTGTTATCTTTGATTTACATTGTTGTGTTGAGATGTAGTTAACGGTCAAAAACTATAATAAGAAAGCTATAAAAATAAAAAAAAAGACTGTTTAGTTTATCAGGGTCGAAAAATTGACGCTATTAACATTTCACAAGTGGCGGAGCCACATTGAAACAAGGGAGGACAACTGTCCCCCCAATTAAAAAAATGGTTTTAGTTAGTTCGAAAAGCCATATTATTAATAGTTAAATACATTACACACATAGATAATAACATGAATGCTGCCTTGATAGGGAGGTTGTGGGTCTTTAATTTTTTACTCTTGTCCCAAGTTCAAACTCTTATATATCGAACTCTTATATTTTATTATTATTATTATTATTATTATTATTATTATTATTATTATTATTATTATTATTATCTCTTTACTTATGTGTGCTTAAATTAAACGTGTCAACTAAAAAGAAACAGAGGAAGTATTTTTTGTTGATAGCGATTACTAATGGGTTGCTTAATATAATTTATTAAGTATATTATTTTTCTCTTTGATTTCTGTACCTAAATTCTACTTTTTAATTTTTATTAGAGCTTATCATCACTAAGTAATAATTCGATTAGTTAGAAAGAGTTGCATTTTTTTTTTTCAAATGTAATCTAAACTCCTTCATATTTATTATCAATTTGTTTAAAGTCTTGACTATATGATAAAAACAATTGATTCTTATTTATTAATGAGTGGATTATATAGCCTGGAATTAGGGACATACAACTACAACTAAATTTTGCTTGGTGGAACTTTTTACTAACTCCTTTTTTGCCATATTTAAACAGTTTATATCATCAAATTTTTTTCTGAGATTTTTGTCGAATTAGTAAACGTCCAAAATTGTCCCCCCATATAAAATATTCTGGTTCTGCCACTGCCTTTATAATTTGCTAAAATATCAAAATTTTCTATGTGTTTAAATTAAATTGATAGTTGTATTAACAATTTTTTCACCATATACCCCTGAGTTATTTGTTTATTCACCATATACCCCTGAACCTTTTTAAATTCATCATATACCCCTGAATTTTTACAAAAATAAACCATATATCCTTGATGACTAATGATTGTTAACTTTGTCAATCATTAGGGTTAATTATGACCCGAAACCACCCTAAATACATTCCCCTACCCCCAAAACCACCTTCGTTCCTTTTTCCTAACCCCAAAACCACCCCTTATTTCCTTTTCTCATCCTCAAAATCAATCATACAGATATGGTTATGGAGATTTGGAGTGGTTTTGGTGGTTGGAGAAAGGAGAGGAATGGTTTCGGGGATGGGGGGGAGAGATCTAAGGTGGTTTCGATGTATAATTAATCATATTTCATTCATCTTGTTGTCATTAGGGATATATGGTGAATTTTTGTAACAACTCAAGGGTATATGGTGAATTTGAAAATTTTTAGGGGTATATGCTGAATAAACAAACTATATGATAAAAAACCGTAGTATTAATTTTGAATTACCTAATAACGAGTTAACGACAATAACTTAGTTGTATGGTAAGACTCGTGTTGACACTTACGTAGTTAAGTATATACTACGTAGGTCAATATTCCTCAAGAATACTTAGCTTAATTATTTCGATTCATATCATATTGTCGAGTTAGAGGATCTCATGCTTCAGCGGGTGATGTATAGAATGGGCTAGGTTGTTTTGTGTTTACTTTTAAAGTAGGGCTCATGCACTACTCTTCTCACGTATCATATACCTTTTAATTAGTTTTTGATGATTGGTTTAAAATAAGTGAGTTGCTTTACAATGTTTGTGTCGCGTTCATGTTACATTTCGAAAATGATGTTCATGTATGATCCTTGTCCCACTAACGAGCTGGGCAAAGCCATGATCAGCTCTACTCAAAATAGAAGTAACTAACTAAACTAGTGTACACCAATTGAGTGTAGTTTTGAGATAAGTGACCTCTTAAAAAATTCTCCTAGTGTGTGAGACTAAATACATAATGCGCTAATAAAACTTATGCAGATTTATGGGTACAATTTTTTTTATCCCAATAAGAAGTTGGGGTGTTATATTAAAAGTTGCGTAACGCCAATATGATTACAACATTACCATCCAAAAGGAAATCAAAACAAAAAGTATAAGCAAGCAAGTTCTGCCATTTTGCTGTAAATGAGATTTTCATACAAATATCAGTCAGTAATACAAGAAAAAATAATATATATGATACATTTGCTTCAAAGAAAAAATTAATAAAAATTGATTTCCAAATAAAAATGGGATAAAAAAAACCTATGATCTAAAACTTATCCTGATATCAGGCAAGAATAGGGGTAAGAAAGGGGGGATTCCAGGGGAATTTATATGTCACTGATAAATTTTCTGCTATTTTAATTCTTTCTGTTTTCCATTGCTCCAATAAATAATCATTAAGCAAATCCTATAATAATCTTTTACTATAAAAATTTGATAATCATGAATTTTATTAGCTTCGGCTTGGCATAGATCTGTCCTTTAAGAAATGATTGAAAAGTATAAAAGCTTGTCGAGGTCTATGAAGAGGTACTTCATGTCCTGCTCCTGTTATTGTCACATATGTTAGACCCTTGTATTCTTGGCTCCATCCACCAACCTATCAATAACACAAGATTAACAAGTCAGTATTAATTCACGATGTCAGACAGACATGAAATCAAATTCCGTCTATATAACTGTCCATGGTGGCTGTCAAAAGACTCGAGTTTTTGACTAACATAGGAAAAGATTGCAATGCTTATCCCATTGTTTAGTAAGGAAGTGTATAACATAAGTTTATATGAACTACCGAGTACTAGTTTGTCTAATACTTCGTGTGTTAGTTGAATATACTTTCTCGTTCATGGTACTCACCCTTCCATTGTCATACCAAGGGGACCAATTGTTCACAGTAGGGAGTCTCAGTGCATCAATAGAATATCGAGTTGCTGTAATAGGCACTACAGCATCAGTGTCGCCGCTGCACAAATTAGAACACGGAAGGCAAGCAAGGAAATGAGCACATAATAATTGAAAAAATGTGTTAGGCTTGAAGCTTGATTACAGAGAAACAGAACAGGATTGCAGCAAAAAAATACCTGAATACCCATATTTTCAAGCCTCCTGCTATGAGTTCTCGATAAATTGGAAGCATCGATTGTGGAGAGTCAGACCAGTAAGTTCCAACTATGTCACTGAAAAAGATAAAGTTTTGATTAGAAATGCTGCATACAAGCTAAACTACTGTCAAAAATATTAACGCGAAAAAAATGAGTTCTTACCTGCAAGTGCTCCATGGATAAGACAATTTGGTCACATTAGCATGCATAGCGAGTTGAACTTCAGGAAGATTGAAGTACTGGTTCGAGTACCTCTCGGTGCATGGATCGTATGCTCTCGTCATCCAAGGCTGAAGAAAGAAAGAAAATAACATTAAGTACAAGCAACCCTGTAACATGACTTTTTTTTTGTTTTTTCTCAAGGGGATTGTAACAGGTAGTTGTAAACTACAAACATGCTGAATTGACATTGTTATAGATAATTCTGCAGTAATACTAGATTCATATATATATATATATGCAGATATGCAATATTAAAGATAGAAATTCAGTCAATTTGGACTAAAGCAGATACCCCATTGACTATGACTAAGTGCTCTCAAATCATACATGATTATAAATCTACACCTGATATAACTAGTTTGTATTCAATTATCCGATTACTTAATCTGAATTACATGGGCCTACCCGAACTTTACCAGATCTAATCGACCCAAATTTGACCTGAACTGAAATTGACCCTAAAATTAATAAGACCACATATGAGCTACGACCCAACCTGAAATGCACCCGAAGCTGAAATGAATGACTTAGTCACCCATTTGTTACCTCAATCTACAAGATCACATGTATGTTTGTCTAAGGCGAAGTGGGTGACACATTTAGGGGATAAAAAGGAGATTTCAGGGACCCAATCAATCAAATGATAAAGTCATACAAGTTTGGTATAGAAAAGACTCAACAAAAAGGACCTAAAGAGTAAAGACCCTTCAAAAACATCATGCAGCCAACAAATATTGACCGTCTTCAATTAACCAGCTGGAAAATATGCTACTTACTACTTAGGAAGCTAATGGGACCTTCGAACCATAACTTCTATAGGCTTCTACAGTTTTGCTTTCCCTTAATACTGATATTACTGAGAAAACAATGTGACAGTAACAAACATCAATCAAGGAGCAGTTCAAATCACTCGAAAATTCGAAGATTTCATAGAGATAATGCACTGATATCCCCTTGGCAAACAAACTTACAAGTCAGTAACATTCTATCAAGAAATAATGCAGCTTAGTCACTTACATAACGGCCCCTTAGACTGCGCTTCATCGAGGCAGTCGAGTTGCAAGGACGGGTATAGATACTGTATGGATCGATGTTTCCGAACTCAGAATCAGCCATTTCCAGAGCTCTGTTGCATACAATACTAGGATGCTGAGATGATCCAGCCAAACAAGCTGTTTTAAGGCTCTTGTAGGTGGAATCTGAAATTAAACCATGTGTCCACCAGTACTCAAATGTACCAATGTAATCATAATAATCATCTGTAACTGCATTTCCCACCTGAAACAGACAATAATATTTAAGAACATAAACAGATAAATAAAAAAATATGCTCCACATTTCTGCATCGAGACATTCTTCCTTCGTCTCTAAAAGTTCTTATTTTGTCACCGTCAAAACTGAAAGAACTTAAAAAAACGGAGGGAGTATCATTTACCAGAAAACAAAGCAAAATATAACAAAAGTGCACGTACCATAAATCCCTTGAAGTTTATTTCTGGTTGTGCAATTCCTTTGTTTCTTCTGTAAATAAGTTGAGACAATTGAGGAACATAATGCCCTGAAACAAAATTCAAGAAAGTGATCAGAAACTTTATTCATCAAAGTGATTAATAATCATATCATAATGATTAATTAGCATAATTAAGGATCATAATGAAGATTAGTACCTGCATAACTTTCCCCAGCAATGTAGAATTCTCTGTGCTTGTACTGGGGAAACCTATTGAACCATTTAACAAGAAATTTATAGGCATCTTTAGCTGCACAATTTAAACAAAAAAAAGGATCATGAGCTATACCAATCTATAAATTTACTATATTAAGGTATAAAAGTACATTATTCACATAATACATGTACAATTGTAATAATCTCATAGAGAAGCACCTACTACTCTAAAGTCTAATTTTAGACTCTAATATTAGAAAAGTTTAAGGATTTAAAAAAACCTTTTAAATCCAGTTTTCACTTTTCATTAATGAGATAACAAACGTTGTACAGTATGAACTAAAATTCAGTTATACTAGTCATATCAATATATCATTAAACTTTTACACACTTTTCAAAATTTTGTTTTTATTATTTTTATCAATAAAAAACTCGAAACACGCAACAAAAAACAATAACGAACAAGCCCCTTAGCAATCAAGTAACAGAATAGTGACCCAATAATTACCTGTCCTGCTATCACCAAGAGCATACAAATCAGATGATCTATTTGAGTATGAGAACCCAACACCAACAGGAGACTCAAGAAATAGCAAATTTGCCTCTGCTCAACACATTCAGAAAACCCAAATCATATCATACACTAAAACAATGTCATAAAATAACATTACATTAACCAAAAAAAAAAAAAAAGCTAAATATTTACCCTTATTCCATGAATATTTATTCAAGTAAAGACTTTTTCCATCATTTTTAATATGAAATGGACCAATCTCTTCTGCAGCACCATAAGCAACTGATGAACAACCAGGACCGCCATTAAGCCATAATAACAATGGTTTTGACTCTGGATTTGAAGGTGATTCAGTTAACCAATAAAACAATGCTTTACCAGCTGATTTATCTACTGTTACATAACCAGAATATTGAGCAAAATTCACATTTTCTGGTTGGCCTGGTAACCATGTTATTCTATCTTTCTCTTGATTTGCAAATGTAGCAGAAAAAATACCCAGAAAAACCAAGAAAAAACAACCAAATTTGGTATTTTTCATGATTTTAATCAAATTTGAAAAAATAAATTGAATGATGACCCAGAAAAATAAGTTCTGGGTATCCAGAACTTTTGAGAAAGGTGCTATAGATGATGAGATTTGCTCATAGAATGAACTGTAGTTGGTTTGGAAAAATAGAAAATGAAGTGTATATTATTATACTTTATATTATATAGTACTAGTAAGCACGTTAATTGATCAACAGTAGGGAAAGAGCAAAAAAGACTACAGCACAGTATTGGATTAATCCCTATATTTTTTATTTTGTGGGATTGCAATGAATTTTGTCAACTGGTGGCTGTGAGTCTGTGACTGAGAGTGGAGAGGAGGATGGAGGAGAGAGAAAATGTGAATGAAATTACTAACTCCCATCAACCAACCAATCAGTCAGATAAAAAATAAAAAAAAAATAATCTTGGTAATATAAATGCAAACCCAAATTTTATAAATCTTTCCAAAAAAAACTAATGCTTGAATGGATTAATCAAGACACATATAGATGGGATTGATCAAGAGTTTCAAGACACATATATTGTCAGGTTACAATTGAGTTGTTCGGCTAGCTTACATTCGTGATTCATGTAAGATAAGTCAAATAATGTACATAGAGTTATAGAGTCTGATTGGTTGTTCAGCCAGCTTACATTCGTGATTTACGTGATATAACGGATAGTTTGATTATTCAAATTAAGATATTTATTAATTTCTCTAATTAATTCAATTGACACATTCTCGTGCTTGTTAATAGACCACGTCATCCTCTTATTTCTTTATTAATAATAACATTGTAAAAAGTTACTATTTTAAAAATATGCAATAAGATTTTACATGACTAAAATAGTCAAAGTTGACATTTCATAAGTATAAATCACTAAAATAGTCAAAACATAGGACGTGAATAATGTTAAAGTCAAAATTGTATCAACTAATCATGATTAATGTTATTTAGTAGACACATTAGTCCTAATCAGGTAAATTTTGATTCGGGTTTATATCAATCGCGTAGTTTTGAATAGAAGAATTCAAGATACAGATTGATAATTCAAATTGTATAATTAGGTATAGAAAGATTTTTATTTTATATGTTAGACTAAATTATTGATAATGTATCTTTAAGAAATTACTGTGTTTGTATGCGCCCATAAGCACACGTTAACGTTAGAAAATCCTAAGATGTATCACATATTATTATTGATTTACCAAAAAGGTAGTGACATCATATAATATAGAGATTAAAATAAGCCTTGAACATAAGGGGGCATAAAGAGAAGTGGTTACTGAATTAGGATTAATTCTTTGGTATTTATGTTAAATGTACTTTTATAGTATTAAATAAATTGCATTTAATAAATGATATGTTAGCTTCACATGATTATTATGATGAGTTGTGATTGGTGTGAAAACGATGTATATCCCCAAATTTTATAAATATAATAATAAATGTGTGGGGGGCTTGGAGCAATAATGTACAATGCAACTTTCTTAGCTGCTACAAAAATTTTGGTTTGTTTTGGGGTGTATTAGACCGAACAGGTAGAACATGCACATGGAGTGGTTGATGTAATAACATAAGAGGTACTAATTTGCCAATTTGTGGTGACGGGACGTTTTAGGAAACTAAGCTTTCCGAAGAAAATAATTACAAATTTGGTTGCGTGGCAAAAGTATTTACAAAAATAAGCTTCTGGGGTAAACCGCTGCCTCGGGCAGCGTTTTACCCTCTATTTTTTTTAAAAAAAAAATTCTGCTACAAAAACGCTGCCCCAGGCAGCGTTTTTATAGTTTGATTTTTTTTTTCCTCGTTTATTTTTTTTTAAAATTAATTAAAAAAAAAAGGCAACAGCATAAAACGCTGCCCCAGGCAGCGTCTTATCTTGTTAATGAAACGCTGCCCCAGGCAGCGTTTCTGTCTGGTTGTAAAACCAGAAACTCGAGCTTCGTTTTCAATCACGTTTGCTCTTCATTCCTTCGCCTCCTTCGCAATCCTCTTCCTTCCCTTCCCAAATTTCCTCTTCAATCCTCTTCAACCCAATTTCGTATTACATCCAATTCAAGGTATGGTTAAATATTAGTTGAGTATTTACAAATTGTTCGTTATGTTTGTTGAATTCTTGAATTGTTGGTTAGTGTTGTTGAATTATTGAATTGTTGGATATTGTTGTTGAATTGTTGGTTAGTGTTGTTGAATTCATGAATTGTTGGTTAGTGTTGTTGAATTATTGTTTATTGTTGAATTTCTTGAATTGTTGAATTTCTAGGGTTTATGTTGAATTTTGGGGGTTTTTGTTGAATTTAGGGGTTTAGGGTTGAGTTGATGAATTGTGATTGTTAAATATTAATTTGGATAATGTAGAATTGTTGGTGTTGAAATATTGAAGATGTTAAGTATTTGAATTTCTAGAATTATTGCTTGTTAATGGTGACCTAGTGATGCTTAGTTGTTCCAAAGTGGTTAGTTGGATGTGATTTAGAGATGGATTAGTGTGTTTTAGTGTAATGTGTTTTGGTTGTTGTGTAGAATATGGCCGCACAGAATGTAGTTTTGTTGTGCCGGTGGGGAGGTGAATTTTTGTTTGACGGACCTCGTGTCGAGTATAATGGTGGAAATATGGAACCACTGACACTTGAACCGAACATGACCTTCAGTGATTTCATGAACGAGGTTCATAGTAGCGTTAGTTCAAACCCGGGGAGTGTTGAACTAAACATTAAAATGAGGTTTGAGACCGGGAATGGGGTTCAAGTGTTACCTGTGTCCTCGAATAAGCATTTGAAAGCTTTAAGGAGCGTTGAAGGGTGTTCCCACCGAGATTTATGTGGAGATGGTGCCTATTTGTACCCAACAAAGTACCAGGGCAAAACCACATTCTACATTTATTTTCGGTAACAACACACAGCCGCAAGTGCCCTCACACGACACTCCCCCGGCTGAATATGGGATGGGATCTTTTAGTCGAATGTTGAACGACGATCAATTTCACATGCCGTTCAGCTCTCACATAGCTTCACCTGTACATGGGGCGACGTATACAGCAATGGCCGGGCAACCTGGGTCTTCGACATCAAACATCGTCACTTCTTCACCGATGCACCTGTATAGGAATACGCCTGTGCAAAATGATGTTCGAGCTTCGCCGACTGAACTAGTTGCGGTTCATCTTGACACAGTTGTGAATAACGAATTGTCTGTGTATGATGTGTACACAAATGATGAGGCCGAGAGCGGAGAGGAGGCAGACGTACTTCGGAACATGGATGTTGAACTCGGAGACATGGAAGTTGGTGAGCCCTTGGTCAGAACTCCCGTACCTTAGTTCAATGAGATAAATGAGGACTATGAAGTTGATCCGTATTGGACTGATGCAGGTAGTCGTCCATCTTTTGCTCCCGGTGGAGAATTTGAGAAGGGCATGTTCTTTGAAAGTAAGAAAATGCTCCTAGAAATGGTGAAGTTGTATTCCATACAAAAGAATCAACTGTACACTACGGTGACATCGAATGAGAGTGTCCTGTATTTGCGGTGCAAGAAGAAATGCGGTTGGATGCTACGAGGTACCAAGTCAAGTGCGGACTCTCGGGGCTTTACCTTGATCACGTATAAAGGACCTCATCGGGAGAATTGTGTCACTGAGGTACTATCCGATTGTCATGCACACTTGGATTCGTCTGTAATATCAGAGTACGTGAAGTCCTTTGTGAGGAAAGATCTAACGGTTAAAGTTGAATTCATCCAGGAACTGATATACAAGCAATTTCACTTCAATGTTCCGTACCATAGAGCATGGTACGCCAAGGAGAAAGCTGTAGCAGAGATATTTGGGGATTGGGAGAGTTCTTACGAGAGACTTCCACAATTCATGCAGGCACTCCAACGATCAAACCCGGGTACATGTGTCGTGTGGAAATACAAAGCCTTGGTGGACGGTGTATACTACAGTAACTTGGAGGTGTTTGAACGAGTGTTCTGGGCATTCGGTCCTTGTATTGACGGTTTTAAACATTGCATGCCTGTGATCTGCATCGATGGGACGCACCTCTACGGGAAGTACAAGGGAACACTGTTGGTGGCTGCAAGTGTGGACGCAAGCTTTCAGGTATTTCCACTAGCATTCGCGGTGGTGGAAGGGGAAAACACTTCTAGCTGGTCTTGGTGTCTAGGTTGCATTCGGGTTCATGTCACGCAAAGAGATGGGTTGTGCATTATATCTGATCGACATCCAGGCATAATTGCAGCAATGAGTGATCCTAACGTTGGATTCACTGAGTCGCGAGCCTGTCATAGGTTTTGTGTTCGCCACATAGCGTCTAACTTGAGGACACACGTGCGAAGCAACGAGATGAGAGATGCGTTCAAGGGTGCGGCTTACCAAAGGCAAGAAAGAAAACTCCACACTGATTTGTGTTTCATCGGTCAGGAGTGTCCCAAGGCCATGGAGTACATTGTTCAAGTCCCTTTCAGTGCCTGGTCTCTCTTTCACGATGCAGGTCGCCGATTTGGGATATGTACTACTAACTTCTCTGAAACTTTTAACAATGTGCTTAAAGGAGCCCGGTTTCTACCGATCATGTCTCTTGTCGAGTTAACTTTCTACAGGGTTAACAAGTACTTCACGCTTAGAAGGGAGTCTTCTGAGACGAGGTATGAACTAGGACTTCCATACCCCCCCAAGGTCACTGCCATTCTTGAGAAGAACACTGCAACTGCAAGATATCACAGGGTCGAAGCATATAATCGCCGATTGCATATTTACCAGGTCACAACTGAAAGGGGGGAGCGATTTGGTTGCAAGGGAGGTCATAAGCATACGGTTAACTTTCAACTTCTGACGTGTACGTGCAACAAACCGAAGATATTCCATCTCCCATGTTCTCACGTTCTAGCCGTTTGTGCGACGTACTCATTGTCAGAGCGTCCATGGGTAGACCCTTCGCTTCAATCAAAGGCCTACACCGACACGTATGCAGCCCAATTCTGGCCTATCCCCTGTGAGACAACTTGGGAGCAGTACGTCGGCCCGAAGATCATTGCCGATAGCAGCATGGTTCGTGGGAGAGGGCGACCGAGGTCAAAACGCATACGCAACGAAATGGATGAGACTAACCGGCCACTCGGTGATCTGTTTTGAGGTTGTGGAGAGTCACCTCCCTGACCGGGTCTTGCGGCAATATGGGATACGTCAGCTGGTCCCTCAGCCATGTGACACCAGCACTCGTTTGCACGGGGTTGACCGACGAGGAAAGGCAGAGACGGATTGGTCGGTGGAGCATCGTGCGTACGTAGAGCTCTGGCATCGCCGACTGGAGTTCGTTGTGGGCGGTGTACCGATGCAGGGCGTCCTCCAGCCTCACGATCCGTACATGGTCTGGTACCAGCGGATTACCCGGCGTTTCATCAACCCCAGCTACACACCTCCCTCCACCCATTACCATCCAGCATATGACGTGATTTATGGATATGTGAGTTTCACTTCCAACCGATTAATTTTCATCTCTTTTTAGGTTTCTATGCATAACTGATCAATGATTATTGCAGGCGGCAGACATGGCATCGATGGTTGACGCGATGTCCCTTAGCCTGGCTGACAGGCCCACCGGGAACGAGGTCCAGCGGGTTCGGGATATGGGCATGGCCAGCTTGCGTCGATATGGACACGACTACCTCGTCCCCTAACGGGACACGTATGATGGCCACTCGATGCATTCGCAGTTCGAGCTCGGACAGAGTAGTTGTGGAGGTGATTTTACGACGCCGACATTCTCAGAGGACTACACCTTCCACAACACTGCGCCGTCCGGCTCCCAGGAGGTGCCAGATACCAGCCAGCTGACTCCCCCGCCGCCTCTAGACCCATTCACCACCATTACTCATTACAGGCGGCGGCGTGTCAGACAGAGGGCCTAGCAACCTGACCTAGATCAATTGCCCCGGATAGATGAATCGGGATAGTGTTAGCTTAGTTATTTCATGTAGTAAAATTTTTGTATAGATTAGGTATATAACATTTACATTTCTAATATAATAAATGTTTTTCGGTCAACATTTGTGTGTTATGTTCTTTGTTTCCCAATATGTTTTGATTTATGTATATATTGACTTGTCAACGGTGGTGGTGGAAGGTAGTGGTGTCAGGTGGAAGGTTGTTGGAGGTGGTGGTGGTGGAAGGTTGTTGGAGGTGGTGGTGGACGGTTGTTGGAAGGTGGTTGTGGTGGTGGAAGGTGGTGGACGGCGGTGGAGGAAGGTGGTGGAAGGCGGTGGAAGGCGGTGGTGGAAGGTGATGGTTGGAGGTGGTGGTTGGAGGTGGTGGAAGGCGGTGGTGGTGGAAGGCGGTGGTGGTGGAAGGTGGAAGGTGGTGGAGGTGATGGTTGGAGGTGGTGGAGGGCGGTGGTGGAAAGGGGTTGGAGGTGGTGGAAGGTGGTGGTGGAAGGCGGTGGTGGTGGAGGGCGGTAGTGGAAAGGGGTTGGAGGTGGTGGAAGGAGGTTGGGGGTGGTGTTGGAAGGATGTTGAGGGTTGGGGCAAGAAACTGGTTTGGTGCTGCCAACCAGGTAAAACGCTGCCTGGGGCAGCGTTTTACCTGTAAACATATACAGATAAAACGCTGCCCCAGGCAGCGTCTTATGTTCAAGCATAAGACGCTGCCTGGGGCAGCGTTTTATGCTGTTGCCTTTTTTTAATTAATTTTTAAAAAAAATAAACGAGGAAAAAAAAAAAGTCAAACTATAAAAACGCTGCCTGGGGCAGCGTTTTTGTAGCAGAATTTTTTTTAAAAAAAAATAGAAAGTTAAACGCTGCCCGAGGCAGAGGTTTACCCCAGAAGCTTATTTTTGTAAATACTTTTGCCACGCAACCATTTTTGTAATTACTTTCGTAACGAAGCTTAGTTTCCTAAAACGTCCGTGATCCAATGTCTTATTTCATGTAAGAATAACATTTTTTATTGTATGTGGTTTATGTCGATATCAGGATATAGTAAAAAAAATTTAGTTTGGTTCTCTAGGATGTTATTCGATAAAGTTATCTCATTCACATACGGAATAAAATAATGTGCATATAGGCTAGTTATTACTAAAGTGATGACAAGCTTGGGTAAGGATTTGAATATTTGATAACATAACTTTCTTATTTTTCCAATTTTATACAAAACCTAAGATACCATTAGATAGGAAATAATCTTTCTTAAAAGATTATCATAAATCATAAAGATTTGATTCATTAATTTATATCAATTATATTATTTAGCAAATCATATATTAACATAAATAAACTAAGATACCATTAGATAGGAAATAATCTTCCTAAAAAATTATTATTATAAATCATAAAGATTCGATATATTAATTTATATTAATATTATTTAGCAAATCAAATATTAACATAAATAACCTAAGATACCATTAGATAGGAAATAATCTTCCTACAAGATTATTATTATAAACATAAAGATTTGATTTTTTATAATTTATATCAATATTATTTAGCAAATCATATATTAACATAAATAACCTAAGATATCATTAGATAGGAATTAATCTTCCTGATAATTATAAATCATAAAGATTTGATTTATAAATTTATATCAATATTATTTAGCAAATTATATATTAACATATATTAACATAAACCTTTCCAAGTAGTATGTTGTTTGTTTTAAAAAAAAAAAGAAAAGGAATGAGCCACCAGTCCACCACTACCACACAGCCACACAAACAACTCATTCCTTCAAATTTCCAGCCATCACCCAGCCAACCCACCACCCAGCCACCACCTAGTCACACTCGCCGCCCCTAGTCGCACCTCCCCCACCCATCGCCGCCGTTCTTTGCTACCCAAAACCCTTCCCCTCCCCAAACCTTCCCCTACCCTCAGAAATTCCTCCTCCACCCTGTAAAAACCGTCGGCCACCCTCGAAACCCTAGGTTGGCGGTTTTTCGAGGAGGAGGGGAAGGTTTTCGGGGGGAGGGGAAGGGTTTTTGGGCGGCGAAGAAGGGCGACGAGAGGAAGGAATGGTGGGGTTATTTGTGCGGTGGGGAAGGCTTTTAGGGGAGGGGAGGCTTATCGGTGGGCGGCGATGGTCGGGGAAGGGGCGGCGAGGCGGAGGAGGTGCGACTGGGTGATGGGGGTAAGGTAAAAGGGTGGTGGCTAGTGTGTGTGTGGTGGTGGAGGGGTGGCTAGGGAAAGGGAATGCAAAAGGTAGGGGGGTGGGAAATGACTTTAGAACAATTTTGGGTAAACCCAAAAATAAAAATGGAGAATGGGAATGACAAAACATGCAAAACAAACACTTACAAAGGGAATCATTCCCATTCCCTTTCCCCATTATAGCGAACCAAACGGCCCCTTAATTGATTTATTTTTTTAATAAAAGTAGTAATGTTAATTCTTGACCAAAAGATTTTTCATGCAAACTCATGCACTAAGTTTAAAAATATCCCTATTTGTGCATGAGATATATAAACTTCTTTTATCTATTCTCTAACACCAGTATACCACTATGTTTAGATAGGATAGTTTGAAGGGAAAGAGAGACGCGCACATCTTTAATTTCCTTATTTAGATAAAATGTTATAGTCATCTTTCATATCATTCTTGATTTCATCATCGATATCTTACAAAATAATCAAGATCCTTAAGGGGATGTTTGATTCGTGGAATATAGGTATGAGATATGGGTTTAGAATGACTAAAACTCATACCATATGTTTGGTTGTCAAAAGTATGAATTTTAAACTCATACCTCAAACCCACGAGATATGGGGTTTAGAAATCTTGGGGAGGAGGTGGATTTGACCCATTTAATTCCCTTAGGTATCAAATAAAAGGAGGGAATAGTGAGAGATTTCATTCCAAAATTGAACCAAACACATGGTATTAAGTATTAAGTTCCAACCCGATACCACCTTAACCCCATTTTTTATCCCCCAAACCCATACCACTCTGCAAATCAAACGCCCCGCAAGTTTTTTTATTTGATTTTGAAAGTTTTTCTAAGTTAATATACTGTGCTAGACTGCTAGTGTATGTACGGGATTGGGTAGGGTTTGGGTCTTAAAGGACCGTGGGCAGAGTCTAGGTTTGAAAATATTATTATATGTACTCGGACCCTTACCCGACCCAATGTCACCTAGGCACATACCCTACTCGGATCCATAGGGTTTAGAAAATTAAGATTCATACCCATATTTTAGGGTAGGGTCTAGAATTCACTGTCATCCCTAACTGTGAAGGATAATGAAAAGTTGCTCTGTCTTAGTTCCCCTCACCTCCATTTCAATCAATTTCTTTACTCTCTTTCGTTCCTTACACTTTCCTTTCATTACTGTTATCCAAACATAGTATAAAATTTCAAAGGTTTGCGTGTAATTAGTTGATCCATTCATATTCTTTCATGAAATCATACACAAAAGATAGATTTTATGCTTTATTGGATCATTTAAGTGTTTGCTTTAAAAATATTACTCCTTTTGTTTCTATTTGTTAGTCCCATTTAAAATCTTTTAACTATTAAAAATTAGATGGAATCTTCTATATTTTTCTTTATATATAAGGACAAAAATAGTCATATGATATCTAGTTTTATTCGTTTCGATGAGCACATTATTAATATCTAAATTTTATAATTTTTGCTAGTGTGAGATTAAAGATATTTGCGATTAAAGTTTTACATCGATTAAAGTTTTACGTAAATGGGACTATGACATAACTTTTTAAAATATATAATTTTAATAACAATGGTTAAATTCTTAAATGTGTGTATCATTCTACCAAATGTAGTGTAAAATCTAATATATCATATCATATCACTAATAAATAAAGCTGGTCTCGCAGCCAAGCCATGAGATAGCGACACTTGGTATTCCAGTTTTTCGCCAAGTGTCGAGCCACGTAGGCGACAAATAGATATTATTGTGATTAGATTGGATAAATTTTTTTAGGATAGAAAAGTATACATAAAATAATTTATAGTTTTTTTTGAAAAATATTTATCTTTTTTATTGACAATGGAATTTTATTTATAGCAACACACCACATATTATAATTAATATGAATATCCCATAAACAATTTTACTCCTATATGAATAACAACGAATTTTAATTATAAATATGGCCATGTATCATTGAATTTTTTTA